CCATTATTAGTCTCAAAGTGGGTTCCTCGTCATCGAAAGTAAGTATTACTTGTCACAAGTTACTAAAATACTAGGTATTATGATTTATAATAGGCTTTGTTTTGATATCAGAACATATAAGATTTTCAAATGTATAACATCATTTGAAATAAAAGCTACTAATTACATCATTGTGTGTTGTTTAGTTTGAATTGCACTGCTGTTGGTGTTTCAGTGTGAGAACTAGTTTGTTACTTAAATTCTGTATTGTATATGATATAATTCCTATATCATTGCTGTTGTTGATGATATGATATATGCTTGTAAATATTAGAAAGTATCTGTTAATTGAAACCCTTTTGATTTTAATAGTATCGGTTTAACATTGATGGAGAAGAAGACACCATTTTGATTTACCTGATGCAGAAAGATGCCAGGAATCTGAAGCGAGAAGGGGGAAAGAACTTGGTGATTGGATTCCATATCATGAAGGTTTGTTATTTTGTGAAGCTATTGACATTTCTTTTTCATTCATTACTAAAGAAATTGTTTTCTTGTTGTTTGGCATTAATTTTGCTAGAAGGTATCTGAATAATTAATATTATCCTATGTTACAATTATTGGGGGACCCTTCTAATATTCTGCAGTTTTACACAGAACTTAGTTATCAAGACACATGGTAGTATTTGTGCGACTAAAACAACCTGCACGACACACTGTGTGTTATTAACTGGAGTGATAGTTTAGTGATTTTCCACTTTCTGTTGCTCAGAATGTTGTAATCCAAACTAACACATATTTTCAGTGGATATGCTCTACTGGACCCTTACTACACATACCAAATTTCAAGGCAATTCATTGAGAAATACATGAGATATAAAATATCCAATTTTGATTGAATTTTTTTCCTCTTATTTTCTTTGCATTGAAAGTACAAAAACTATATTTGATAGAAAAACATACTTAACTTTTAAGGATTCTTTTCAAATTTGGTACACTGGTAGATCTTTACAACTTACAATGAACTGTCAAATTTGGTATAAATATAAGTCACACATGCAAAGTTATTCAACAAAAAAAGCTCAGATTTGACCAAAATTTTTGCAAGCGCCTATGCAAAATGTCACATGAACTATCAGTCTAACATTCTTACTGCAGCTTCACCTAAGTGTAGGAGTGGACCATTTTTAGTTTTTGTCATTCAAACTAAAGACAGCTGATTTAGAGTAGCAAAACTATAGGGTGAAAGGACATGCAGATACACAAGTATTAGTTAGGTCAAGCAAACTAGCTTAGCAGTTTTTAGCTCAAGGTTTCAAAAGAATCATATGGATGGACAGTTATTATTCATTATCCATTGCCAACTTTTAAGCATAAATTTGCTAACTTTTATGAAATTCTCCTAATTAAAGAGTTTTTAGCATCACATGATATTAGCTTCAGCAATTAGCATAAATAATGATGCTAGCAATGGCATGCAGTGATGAAACTGTTAATCTAGATTCCATGGTGTTACTGTAAAAGAAGTTATTAACACTTTTAGAGAGGATAAACTACCGCCATACAATACTGTGCAAAAGCATTAGAACAAGAGATTATTTAGTCATTCTTTCCATTTTATGCAGCTAATTCTTCAATTCTATTACAGAATGTAAATTTCAACACTATGATAATGCTTCACTGATCCTTGTTGACAATTGAATGAGCCAGGGTGAGAATACTTATCATTCTCTAGAATTACCATATACTTGTACCAAGGGCATATCGTAAGAATTCTGCTTGATCATATTTAGGGTCTGAAATAACTGTCATGGTACCCCATGCAATGCCTTAACTATATAGAAAGAAGCTAGCAAGGAGCTAGCGTATAGTACCGGTATATGCTAGAAGAAATCGATTTAATAGCACTCCACAAATAAACCTTGATTAAAAACAGTGTTTAACACTATATTTTAAGTTTTGTTGTGGTGCTACATCACAAAAAGCATAGAGAAATGTCAGTAGAGCATAAAAGCTTTACGTGATGCTGGTTGGACTCCTCAACAAATTGCTGCAGACTTGAAATGCTCCCCAAATACTGTCAAGTACACCATAGATCATGAGACCGAGACATAGTAAATTTGAAAATAGGAAAGGAAGAGGCAGAACATCTAAACTCAATGATACTGATGTTCAGTATCTTCGTTTATGCAGCCTTCAGGACAGAAGGAAGACTGCCACTGATCCCAAGCATGAAATAAATGAACATGTACCAAATGACAGAAAAGTGTCCAGATCTACATTATCAGGAAGACAACGAGAATGGAATATTTGGTCGCATAGCAGCTAAAAAATTTTTACATCAGTCTCCAAATATTGTAAAGAGATTGAAATTTGCTAAAAAGTACAAAAACTGGACTGTTGATGATTGGAAAAGGATGTTATGGATGGGTAAGTCCAAGTTTAAAATATTTGGTTCAAAGCATAGGTTGTATGTGTGGCAGAAGAAAGGTGAAAGATACTTACCTCAATGCATGACACCTACCATGAAGCATGGGGGAAGCAGTGTGATAGTTTGGGTGTGTGTTTCTGCTGAGATGACAGGAGATATTTGCAAAATAGATGAAATAATGGACCAGTACAAGTACCATCAGATACTGATCCGTTTGCATATTATTGGTAAATGATTCTACTACCAAGAAGATAGTGGCCCCAAACACTCATCCAACCTATGCAGAAATTACTTAGCTAAGAAAGAAGCTGCTGAAGTCATTCAAATGATGCAATGGCCCCCACAGAGCCCTGATCTCAACCCAGTTGAACAGATCTGGGATTTGATAGATCAAAAACTTGAGAAATCAAAAGTTACTTCCAAAGAAACTTTATGGGAGTGTATTAGAGATATTTGAAGTAAAATCCCAAAAGACACTTTGATTAAACATATTGCAACTATGCCTGAAAGACTGTTTGTAGTTATTAAAGCAAACTCAAGTGCTGAACTCAAGCACTTCCACAGAGTTTCTGTTGTACTAAATATGAAGATGAATAAAATTTTGATGTTTCACCTGTAATTTACCTTCCATTGTTTTTTGAAAGTAGCCTGAAATCTAATTTTTGACTTTGTCCTAACGCTTTTGCACAGTACTGTGTATTTTAAAGAATCTGATTTGTTCTGAAAAGTGTAGGTCTGTTTCAAATAATAGGGTTGTGATCGTAAAGCTGTTTTGGGTTACTATAGAGTGTCACTTTCTTACTTGCTGGTTTGTTGGTGTGTATTGACAAAAAGTCATGATATCTAATCAGAAACACCCCAGGTGTGAAAAAAGGTGTGGCCAAAAAAGCATTGAGCATGCGACTTAAAGGAATGAAATCAAAATTGGTGGCTAAAACTGAAAAGCTACACTTACAGCATTGATAAGAATTCTACAGCAAACATAATTCATTAGTTAACTAGGCAGCATATTTTGTTTACCCACATCATGACCAAAGTTTGAAACAAAATATAGCGGCCTTGGCTAACTA